ACCGACGGAGGGAGAAACTTTGGATGTCAGTTTGACTGCGGGTCGGGGGGCATCGCAGGTTCGGCAGGAACGCTGAAGTACCCTGGCGGCAATTTCAACCGTGTGGCACGGATTCGGTAGTTTTAGCCCGGCGGGATGGGGGTATTGGGGGGTAGCCGGGAAGGGATCTGTTTATGGCAGTTTATCTGAGATGCCGGCATTCAGATGGCGGCCTCGATCGTGGATCGGAGACAGCGAGTGTGCCAGTTCAGCTGGGGCGTGTGAGGATATTTGGGCCGTGGCGCGTGCCGCGGGTCTATCTCCTCTCTCCGCCCCGCCTCGGGCCCCCGTCTGACCCCGCCCCGCCCCTCCTCCCCCTCCTCCCCCCCCCTCCTCTTCCCCCTCCTCCTCCCCCTTCTCCCCCCTCCTCCTCCTCCTCCTCCTCCTCCTCCTCCTCCTCCTCCTCCTTCCTCCTCCTCCTCCCCCTCCTCCCCCCCTCCTCCTCCTCCTCCTCCTCCTCCTCCTCCTCCTCCTCCTCCTCTCCTCCTCCTCCTCCTCCTCCTCCTCCTCCTCCTCCTCCTCCTCCTCCTCCTCCTCCTCCTCCTCCTCCTCCTCCTCCTCTCTCCTCCCCGCCCCGCCTCCCTATCCTCGCTGCTTCCCAGACCTCCGTCGTCGTGGCTTCTACTGCAGCGTGGACCCCCAGAGGTCTGGGCCACTTCCGGGGGGCCAGCGTTGCAGCCCGACGCGTTTTTGTTGGCGGCCCTGGGGGCCGGCGAGGGCCCGAGGCCGACCGCGGCCATGGACCTCCCGCCGAGGGGCTTGAGGAGGAGGAGGAGGATGAGGAGGAGGAGGAGGAGGAGGAGGAGGAGGAGGGGGAGGAGGAGGAGGAGGAGGAGGAGGAGGAGGAGGAGGGGGGCTCTATACCCATTGGTCGTTGAAGGTAGGCAGTTTTGGATTCCCAGATGCCAGTCTACTTTAGGCGCCTTCCTACTGCAATGATCGAGTGGCTTCACCTTTTTTCCTTCCTCCTCGGGGGGCGGACGGGACCCAATCTGCTTTCTCAAAGCCTTCCCACTTCATGTTTCTGCCTGCTTCTGACGACCGATGGGTCTAGTTCCCAGGCCTCTCGCTTCCTGTGCTCGGATCGCTCCAGCCTGGAGCGCCCAGCTCGGGACCCCCACGGCACGGCAAGCAGTCGCGCAGGCACTTGCCAAGAGAGGATGATGGGCCTGTTTTCCACCACCACCACCACCACCATAAGTTGGAGGAGGAAGAGGAGGACGAGGAGGAGGAGGAGGAGAAGGAGGAGGAGGAGGAGGAGGAGGAGGAGGAGGACCCCCTCCCCCTCCTGTACATGGTGGTGGTGGTGGAAAACAAGCCCATCAGAGGAGGCGTCGGGCAGGCAGCCCGGCAGGGACGCAGCCGTGGGCGCTCGAGCAGGGCCGCCCCGCCCGGGCATGGGGCCCGCGAGGGGGCCCACCGGCCGCGTGCGGCGCCGGCGCGTGCAGCGTCCCCGGGACCTCTGGCGGATCGGGCAGTCTATGCAGCGTGTCTGCGGTCGCCAGACATGCTGCCAGACATGACGGCGTCGTCACAAAAATCGGGACGGGAGGTTTTGGGCTATTTTCGGCCCTCAAGCCTTGGGGGCCTTCGCCGGGCCTCGGGACCGTCAAAAAACGACTCGGGACGAACAACTTGGAGGGTGAAAGGGGGGGTCTGCAACAGGGGGTCTTCAATGGGTGCCGAATGGCCCATGTATGCTCAATGTATCGCTCGTGTATGTGATCGGGTATGATTGGCCTCCAATGTTGGCGGTCATGGAGGGCCAGTCGTTCGTGCCCGCGCGTTGCCCGCGCGGGCAAACGCGCCGTCCATCCAGTATCGTTCATGCGTGCGGGCGTTCTTGCATATCTCGCGTGGGGCGGCGAAGTGGAGTGCAAGTGTGTCTTGACTGTGCTATTGATGATCGCGTATGTTCCCGAACGATGACTTGTCGGCCCCCAAGACAGATTTGGAATGGGTCCCGCGATTCTCCCAACATGTGAATTCACATTTCCCCTTTCTCCAAAATGTGAACTCACAAGTTCCATTTCCCAAAATGTGAGTTCACATTCTGGCCCCTTCTTAAATATTCGTATACAAACTTCCAAAATTTGAATTAACATTTTCATTTCTTCCAAATGTGAACTCACAGTTTCCTTTTCCCAAAATGTGAGTTCACATTTCCCTTTTTTGGTTTTTCCCCACAATGTGAATTCACATTTTGCCCTGGCCCTCAAGATCCCAGCACTGAGGCGCAGTGTTCCGCATGTCAGACAGGCTGGGCAGATTCTGACATTCACCTCACCAATTTCTTTTATTCCAACCTCTCTATGCGCCCTCAGCGCACGTCGCCTTCGTCGCCTTTCCCGAGCCCCCCGCCCCCTTGCTCCGTTCACCCTCAAGTCTCGCGCATGCGCGCCGGCGGGGAGCTTCACTTGGAGCCCCCGCGGAGCACAGCAATCGAAGATGTATCGCCCATGCGTGGCCCATAGAGACCTTGGCCGGGACCCTGCGCACGACCCTCACTTTCACCCTCCATCAGAGCCCCGAATCATCAGGGGTAACTCGGGTCAGGGCTAACTCGGGTTCGTTTTTCGGGATTCCGAACCCGACTTACCCCGGGCCCAATTTACCCCGGAAAATTCGGGCGTCCAGAGCCCCACATCATCAGGGGTAACTCGGGTCAGGGCTAACTCGGGTTCGTTTTTCGGGAATCCAAACCCGAGCTACCCTGGACCCGAGTTACCCCGGATAACTCGGGCGCCCAACCTTTGCCTGGACCCTGCGCCCGACCCTCGCTTCCACCCTCCAAAATACCGGTCCCCGGGGAAGGGGTCGGGACTTCCAGGGACGCTGCCCCGAACAATTCCAGACGTCGCACGTCTGGGCTCGCGCCGTAAGCGACTCGCGGCGGGAGGAGTTTTTTTTTGGCTATCTTCGGCCTCCGAGAGCCCCTTGCCGCGCCCCCCAGGACCGCGGGCAGACGACGACCCATGTCATCGGTTCCCGAGCTTTTCCGGGCGCGAGCGGTGGCGAGCGGTAGCGCTCAAACTTCGGGAACGGCGACCGACCAAACGAGCCACGCGCGACCGCTCCGCGACCGCTCCGCGGCCGACCCGCGACTGCCCGTCACGGATCGCGACCGATCACGACCCACTCCGATCCGATAGTGGTCTGGCGTCAGGCCATTGTCAGTTTCTTGTTTCCCGATCGCAACAGACGCCGATGTGTCAACAATCTGACGTCAGGCCCATTGTCAGATCGCGCTGCTTTCTCGCGAAAGGGCCCACGGGATGCGGAAATCCACATCATCATCACCAGCATCACCATCACCATCACAATCACCATCACCATCACCATCACCATCACCATCATCATCATCATCATCATCATCATCATCATCATCATCATCATCATCATCATCATCATCATCACCACTGTTATCATCACCAGCATCATCGTCATCATCACAGTGATCATCACCACCATCATCACCATCATCCTCATCATCACCATGATCATCAGTGTAGCCATCATCGTCATCATCACCACCATAAAATACGGACGGTGCAACTATTTAAACAATAGTCGTCGTCGTCGTCGTCGTCGTCGTCGTCGTCGTCGTCTTCGTGTTCGTCGTCGTCGTCATAGTTCTCATCATCATCATAACCACCATCATCATCATCATCATCATCATCATCATCATCATCATCATCATCATCATCATCATCATCCCCATCGTCATCCTCATCCTCATTCTCATCCTCATCATCATCACCACCATCATCATCCCCATCGTCATCCTCATCCTCATTCTCATCCTCATCATCATCATCACCACCATCATCATCATCCACCTCCCCTCGCTCAACCTCCCCCTCATTCTTCCCTGTCGCTCGTGCGCCGCGGCGCTCCGTGGGGGGGCGGAGAAACCAAACGAGCGTGGATGTGGATTGTGGAAACACGTGCCCCTCGCCATCGTCGCCGTCGTCTTCGCCCGTATCTTCGTCGGCAGCATCGTCATCATCCTTAGCCTCCTGATCGCCCCCACAGTCAAAACGGTTATTACCAACGCTATCTTGTATCCTCACCACCGCCATCGCTATATCAACAGGTGAATCGCCACGTCCTTCCATCATAGTCACACTTTTCGCCATCATGGCCACCGCCCAACATAATCTCACCATCACCGCCCTCATCTCATCATGACCAGTTCCCCCCGACCTCATTGCCTTTGACTATAATCCGCGTCGTCGCCCCTGTTCCAATAACTACCTCTTCATACTGGTCATCATCCTCTCCCTCCTCCTCCTCCTCCTCCTCCTCCTCCTCCTCCTCCTCTGTCTTTCTATTCCTTCTCTCCTGGCAACTGCCACCACCGCTCCCCTTCTTATCGACGTCCTCATCCTCCTCAACATCGTGCTTCTGCTCGTCCGCATCCATCGTCACCGCTTTCTCTCCATCTTTTTCTCTCTTTCGCCCTTCATCATTCTCCTTTTCCATCCTCTCCATCCCCCCCCACCTTTCCCTTCTCGTCCCCCTTCTGCTGGGACATCTGCCTCCTCCTCCGCGCCCTCCTCGAGTGCGACCACTGTTGACTCTCGGCGGCAACAGCGCTCAAACCGTGCGCCCGCGGGAGTGATCGCATCGACCATGTAAACTGAGCGTGCTTTCTGATTGTATCGGCATGCCTGCACGCGTACGTTACTATGCGCACAATTTGCAATCATCGCACATACACGTGTGTACCCATATCATGTGAGACACGTTAAGCATGTATACTTCTGATATGAGCACGCTGATTTGAATTTAAGATGCATTACTACTTCTACATCTGACCATCACGCAAATTAATGTCATACTTGACCAACCGCACGTGCTGTGACAGCGGTCTGACGTCATACCATTGTCAGACGCACGTCTCTGACGTCAGATTTGCCAGATCCGACAGGTCTTACGTCAGACCATTGTCAGACACCATGTTCTGGCAACGCTCTGAGGTAGGACCGTTGTCAGAACATGGTCTGACCCCTATCCCCTCTCCTTCTCTCCTCGCCCTCCGCACCGTCAGCACCGTCGTCGTGACTGATGATGATGACGGTGCACATTTGCTACATTGCACGAGGAAACATTTGAGCTGACAATGGTCTGACGTCAGATCGTTGTCGGATCGGTGTCGGTTGCGATCGGGACCGATCGCGACCGTTCGGAGACCGTTCGCGACCGATCCGCGACCGATCCGCGACCGATCGCGACCGAGCTCGACCGATACCAGAAGTCAGCTTGACCAGTAACGTCGGTCGTTACCGGATTTATCCACGAACCCAAGACCAGGGGACTCGGGATGAAAAGTGGGTCCCGAGGAATGGGCCGGGACTTCCGGGGACCCCGTTCTGACAAAACCATGGCATCGCATGTTCGGGGACAGATCGGCATGAAAAGGTAAGCTTCTTTCGGAGCTCCGCGCGGATTGTGTGGATCGGCGTCCGGGGTCGAAGCAGGCGAGAGCGCCCAGTGCGAAGCAGGAGCGGCGTCTGGGTCTCGGGAGAGTTCGGCCCCCACGCGGGTTGAGAGGTGCGCGGTATCCCACGGACGGGGCTAGGACGAGGATAAAATCCGTGCCAGAGCGTTCTGGAATGCTCTCGAGAATTCCGGCACGCTCTGAGAAAGCCGCAGCGCCCACTATATTCTCCAGAGCCGCCGTATCTCAGAGATTTTCGATTTATCCCCATCTGGTTATATTCTGGTCCTGGCTTCGTCTAATCGAGAGGGCTGGGGGTTCCCAGTGCCGGAAGAAATCCATATCCACTGCCCCCTGGCCGGACCCTTCCTGGACCCATGAGCTGTGTATGCGCCTTCTTGGCCATGTCAGGGGGGCCATGTCAGGGGTTCATGATGGGCCTGGCCACGATCGGAGTTCCACCAGCTGCCAGGCCCTGGATTCCTTATCCAATGGTTCCTTATCCAACGCCCCCACCGTATACCCAGACCCCCGACGTCGTGATGTTTTCGCTACGTCGACCCCCAGAGGTCTGGACCCCGTCCCCAGGACTTGGGTTTTCCTCCTGCATGTTTTTTTGACGGTCCCGAGGCCCGGTAAGGGCCCCCAGAGGCCGAACATATAGAAAACCTCCCGTCGTGTTTTTGTCATAGCGCGAGGGCGTCTGGGTGGATTTCGTCGCCCCAGAAGGAAGGCGTCGCGCGGTCGGAGGTCCAGGGGTGCGTCCCCCGCGCTCGCCTGCGGGGGCATGGCCGCGGGAGCTGCGGCCCCAGGCCGGCCGCTCTTCGACCCCCGCTCCAATCCTGGCTACGAGCGGTGGGTCCACCCAGCGGTCATCGGGCGGTGGGCTGCGCACATGCTCAGAGGAGGAGAACCCAGCCCCCCCCTTGCGTTGTGTGGAATCACGACAGGAGGTTATTGTCGGCCTTCGGGTGCTCTTACCGGGCCTCGGGGCCGTCAAAAAACGATTCAGCTTGAAAAACCTGTCCCGGGGAAAGGGTCCAGACGGGGGTCGACGTTGCGAACAAAAATCACAACTTCGGGGGTCTGGGAAGGCACACGTACTGCTGCCCTTGCCTCGCAATCGCCCTGCTTGCGCCCACTGGGAGGCCCTCGTCGCCACCGCTGGACTCCTCGAAATTCTGGTCTGAACGCATCCCGGGGGAGGTCCAGGGAGTAGCGGTATCAGCCAAGTACCTTCTGATCCCCCCGCATGCACCGGGGTCGGTGCGCGCGTGCCTCTCCGGCCGAGCCGGGAGGGCGTGCCATGAGATCCAGAGCAGCGATACTACCTTGTGACGCACCCGACCCATCTGTGATGCCACCACCACCATAAGTTGGAGGGGGAGGGGGTCCTCCTCCTCCACCTCCTCCTCCTCCTCCTCCTCGTCGTCCTCCTCCTCCTCCTCGTCCTCCACCTCCTTCCCCCTTCCAGCTTATGGTGGTGGTGGAAAACAGGCCCATCAATCTGCACACGGTGACCACAGGAGTTGGTCCAGAATCGTATGGCTGATGACTTCGACAGTGGTGACAGTTCTGCAGTTCGCTGGCGATGTCTGGTCTGATTCCGCGCATGCCGACGCTCCGCTGGCCCCTTAGTTGCCTTCGAAAGCGACGGCAGCTTCGCCCCCCCCCCCCCCCCCCCAGGGATGGCGAGGTTGATTCTGAATCCGCGTATGCCGTTACTCCGTTGGACCCCCCAACCGCCTTCGAAAGTGATGACAGTTCCGCAGTTCCCAGCCCCATAGGGATGGCGAGTTCTATTCTGAATCTGCGTATGCCGTCACGCCGCTGGACCCCCCATCAACCTTCGAAACTGGCGCAGTTCGCAGCCCCCCCACAGATGGAGAAATCTGGTTTGAATCCGCGTAAAACATCGCTCTGTTGAACCCCCCCGCATCCTTCGCAACTGGCGGCAGTATCACAGCTCTCAGCCCCCCAGGGATGGCGAAGTTTAGCTTGAATCCGCGTATGACGCCAATCCGTTGGGCTCCCAGCAACCTTCGAAAATGACGGCAATGCAGCAGTTCGCATCCACCGAGGGACGGCGAGGTTTACTCGGAATCTGCGTATGACGCCACTGCGGTGGACCCCCCAACAGGCATCAACAGTGGCTATCATTTCGCAGTTTGCAGGCCAGCAGGGATGGTGAGGTCTAATATGAATCCGCGTACGACGTCACTCCCTGGACCCCCCAGCAACCCTCAAAAGAGGCACAGGTTTTGCAGTTCCGCAGCTCCCCAGGGCTGGCGAGTTCGAATCTGATTTCGCTTAGGACGTTATCCTATTGGACCCTCCAGCTGCCGTCGAAAGAGGCACGAATTTTACAGTTAGCAGCTCCCAAGTGTTGGCGAGGTCTGATCTGAGTCCGCGTAGGACGTCGCTCCGCTGGACCCCCCAGCTTCCGTCGAAGACGACAGTTTTGCAGTTCGCAGCCCCCCCAGGGATGGCGAGGTCTATTGGAGAGGCCTTACGGCCAGTGCCGCCTACCCTGAACGACAATGACGAGGATGTTGACGTGGGTCAGAGTCCTCAGGGATGCTTCTTGGGGTCTCTTCGGAGCACTCTCGGGTGCCTCGGGGGGTTCATTTTGGCGCCTCTTGGGGGTCTCTTGGGGTCATGTTGGGAGGCTCCTGGGGGCCTCTTGGGGCTTCCCGGGCGCATCTTGGTTTTTTTTTCGGGCCATCTTCGGGGCTTCTTGGCGCTTCCTGGGAGCCTCTCAGGCCGAGGGCTCGAAATGTCCGTTCGGATCTCCCGTCTGTGCACTTTTGGAGCCGTCTTGGGGGCCTCTCGGGCCGTGTTGGAGGCCTCTTGGGCCGTCTTGGGGCCCTCTTGGGTCGTTTTGGGGCCCTCTCGGAAGCCTCTTGGGCTACCTTGGGGCGATCTTGGGGGCCTCTTGGGCCGCCTTGGAGTGTCCAGAAACCGAAAAGGCGAGAACCCCCAAATCTATCAACAACCTTTGTGGACAGTCAATCATTTTTGCCTCTTCGGGCCCTCTTGGGAGTGCTCTCGGAGGCATCTTGGGGCGTCTTGAAAACCTCTTGGGCTGTCTGGAGGCTACTTTGTTTGGCGTCTTGGACAGATAGTTCGGCGATTCGGGGCCCTCTTGGACCGTCTTGGGGGCTTCTTGGGGAAGTCTTGGTTCCTCTTGGGGGGTTCTGGGCTCTGGGACCCTCCAGCGGGTGGGGGGGGGGGCATTCTGACTCGGGATCCCCCTCTCCGGTGACCTCCCCCTGGGTCTCCCCCAGGAACCGGAATTCCCCTCCCGAGACCCCCCCCCTCCCGGCGGGGAAGGGGTCCAGGGAGGGGGCTGGGGCGTGCATCATCCCTGGCTGAGCGTGACCGCCGTTGTCAGCAACCGCCGTGGGGGCCACATGGGGGCGCGTGGCGGGGCCACGAAGGGGGGGCCAAAGGAGGAGAGGGAACACAGGGGGGCCAAGGGGAGGAGGGGGAAGCCAGACACCTACGCAAGGAACAAATCCGTAGTCCCCGCAGCGTCTCTACAGGCCCTCCTGCCGAAACCCTACATACCGCCATGCTGGTCCCGGGCAGGCTGTGTTCGTCCGGCGGAAGGGACGAGGAGGGGAGAAGCAGGCAGACGACGACGACGAAACGAACGCCCAGGCGGGAGGCCAGGGCCGGCGGGGCGGGCGGGCAGGCAGACGAGGGGCCAGGTGGAGACAGCAGGCAGGGAGCAGGAGAAAAGGAAAGGGAAGGAGGCAACGAGCAGAAGTGGAGGGAGGAGGAGGACAAGGAGGAGGGGAGGGGAAGCAACCGCAAGCAGACAGGCCAGGCCAGGGGCCGGGAAAGAAAGCCACCCAGGATGTGGCTAATTACGGACCCTACGGCGGCGACCTGGGCGGGGTGGCCGACCGAGCCCAGCACGCTGCGGCTTGGTGGGAATTGCCTTCTGCGGGATCAAGGGAAGCGGCTTCTTTCCGAATGAGTTGCGACGTTCGTTATTGTCGTTTTGGCTAGCACGCTTAAAGAGAAAGGCCCAGGGGAAGAGAGGCAACGGCTGGCGCGTTGGAGAAGGAGACCCAGGATAACAACTTGGAGTGGCGATGGAGACGACGACGACGACGACCGCGACGACGACGACGACGACGACGACGACGACGACGACGACGACGACGACCACGATGAGATGACGAATGCAACAGCGACGAACGAAATAGTTTTTTTCCACACGCCGACAGGGTCGATGGATTTTGAATCCGCGTATGACATCACGCAGTGGACCCCAGCAGCCCTCGAAAGCGACGACAGTTCCTCAGTTCGCAGCCCCCGAACAATGGCGAGGTTTAGTTTGGATCCGCGTATGACGTCACTCCGTTGGACCCCCCAGCAGCCATTCGCAAGTGGCGGCAGCTTCACAACTCGTGGCTCCCCTGGGACCGAAACTGTTGACAGTTTCGCGGTTCGCAGCCGCTCAGCGAGCCACCGGGTAGGAGGGCGAGGCAGGAGCTAATTAGGAAGCATGGGAAGGGAGAGAAGGGAAACGAGCGAGCAGGAGGGAGGCGAGAGGAGAAAGGGGAGGCCGCGACCGCAGTGCTCCGCTCATGCAACGAGAACCCAGCGCAGAACGGGCAGGGGATTCATTTGGCATCGCGCAGACGCGTGCATATTTCCTTCGGCGAGGACCATCGAGGAGCATCCTTGATCGCTTGGGGAAAAAGCCACGCACGAAACCAACAAAAAACACAGGGAATGGACGTCCGAGCGATGGCCAGTTCACGGCTCGGGATGGCACGCCGGCCCAGGGGAGCGGTGTCCCGACTTCCGAGGGCGGCATATGGAACAAACATAGGGCATCGGACCTCCTGATAATGAGGCGCCGCTGCGCCCGACCCCTCGGGCAGCCCCCGAAAGTGGCGTCAGCTTCGCAGCTCGCCGCCCCCCAGCGGCTGCGAGGTCTCATCTGATGGATCTGAATACGACGTCGCTCCAGTGGACCGACCCCCCAGTGGCCCTCGAAAGTGGCCACAGTTTTGCGGTTCGCAGTCCCCCAGGGATGGTGAGGTCTAGCAGCCCTCGAAAGTGGCCGCAGTTTGGCAGATCGCAGTCCCCAGCGACGTCGAGGTCCCACCTGATCGGGATAAGACGTCACTCTGCTGCACCCCCCGCAGCCTTCGAACGTGTCTGCAGTTTTCGCAGTTCGCAGCCCTCCAGCGGCGGCGAGGTCTCATCTGATCTGAATACGACGCCTCTCCGCTGCACCCCCCAGCAACCTTCGAAGGTGAGCACAGCTCCGCAACTCGCATCCCCAAGCGACGGCGACGTCTCATCTGATCTGAATACGACGTCATTCCACCTAGAAGGTGGCGATAGTTTCGCAGCTCGCAGCCCCTGGCGACGGCGACGTCTTATCTGATCTGAATACGACGTCACCCCAGTAAACTTCCCAGCGGCCTTGCAAGTGGCGACGGTTTCGCAGTTCGCACGAGGTCTCATCTGCTCTGACTACGACGGCGCTCAGCTGGACCTGCCAGCAGCTTTCGACGGTGGCGACAGTTCCGCAGCGCAGAGCCTCCAGCGACGGCGAAGGCTCATCTGACTTGAGTAAGACGTCACTCAATGTGCAGCCCTCGAAAGTGCTTGCAGTTTTCGCAGTTCGCAGCCCCCAGCGACGGCGAGACCTCATCTGGTCTGCATCAGACGCCTCTCCGCTGCACCCCCGAGCAGCCCTCGAAGGTTGCGACAGTTTCGCAGTTTGCATGCCTCCAGCGACGGCGAGGTCCCATCTGATCGGCATAAGACGTCACTCCTTTGGACCCCCAGCAGGCCTCGACGGTGGGGACCTTTTCGCCGTTCGCAGCCCCCAGCGACTGCGAGGTCTCATCTGATCGAAGTCTGACGTCACTCTACCTCGGAAGTGGCGATAGTTTCGCAGTTCGCAGCCCCCAGCGACGGCGAGGTCTCATCTGCTCTGACAATGACGGCGCTCAGCTGGACCCCGCAGCAGCTTTCGAAAGTGGCGAAAGTTCCGCAGTGCACAGCCCCCAGCGACGGCCAGTTGTTTTCTAATCTCATAAGGCGCCACTCTGCTGGACCCCCCAGGAGCCCTCGAAGGCAGCGACAGTTTCGCTGATCGCGGCCCCCAGCGACGGCAAGGTCTCAGCTGATCTGAACAGGAAGTCACTCCAGTGAACCGACCCCCCAGCAGCCCTCGAAAGCTGCGATAGTTTCGCAGTTCGCAGCCCCCCAGGGATGGTGAGGTCTAATCTGAGTCCGCGTAAGACGTCACTCCGCTGGACCCCTCAGCAGCCCTCAGAAGTGGCGACAGGTTCGCAGTTTGAACCCCCCCAGGGATGGCGAGGTCTAATTTGAGTCTGCGGTGAGACGTCACTCCGCTGGACCCCCCCCCAGCAGCCCCTCGAAATTGGAGGCAGGAGAGAGGCGGCAGGCGGGAGGAATGAGGACGGGAGACCGGAGTGCTCGGTTGGAAACGAGAACCCAACGCAGGAGGCTTGGGACACATTGCAGCAGTGTGAGAACTCACGGCGCAAGCCCTTGGGCCCCCTCTTTCTGCGCCGCGCGCCATTTTGCGAGCCCGGTTGATCTGAGTGAGGATCCCTCAGGGAATACGCCCGATGGGAACAACGTGCGACGCCAGGATCTCAGGATCTCAGGGGTCTGCGCGCCGATCCCGGGCCTGGGGGTGGGTCCGTGCGTCGTCGTCGTCGTCGTCGTCGTCGTCGTCGTCGTCGTCGTCGTCTTCGTCGTGGTCGTAGTCGTGGTCGTGGTCGTGGTCGTGGTCGTAGTCGTGGTCGTGGTCGTGGTCGTGGTCGTGGTCGTCGTCGTCGTCGTCGTCGTCGTCGTCGTCGTCGTCGTCGTCGTCGTCGTCGTCGTCGTCGTCGTCGTCGTGGTCGTCGTCGTGGTCGTGGTCGTGGACGGGATGGGCGGGCGTGCGCTGTGCCCGCCCCCTCCTCCAGGTCAAGCGCCTGCCCGAGCCAGGGGGCTCGGCGGAGGTGGCCTTCTGCGACGGGGCGCCCCTGGAGCCCGGGGTCGACGGCCTGCAGCACGGGGAGGTTCGGGCGCGAACTCCTGGGGGGGCGACAAGCCCAGACCCCCTCGCGCCGTGAAAAAAACACGACGGGAGGTTTTTCTATACCTTCGGCCTCTGGGGGCCCTCCCCGGGCCACGGGACCCCCAACAAAAACGAGTCAGGAGGGAAAACGGGCCCGGGCGAAGGAGTCCAGACCTCTGGGGGTCGACGCTGCGCCACGCTCATCTCACGGCGTCGGGGATCTGGGCAGAGGGGGGGGGGCATCGAGAAGGGTGCCCCATCTCGGGCCCCGAAGGGCCCCTTCTGGGGCCCTATAGGGCACCCCTTGAGGGGCCTCGCCCCCCCAGCGCGCGCGTGGCCCAAGAGGTGAGGCATCAGGCCCCCCCCCCCGCCTCGCCCCCCCCCCCCCCCCCCCCGCCTCGCCCCCCCCCCCGCCTCCCCCCCCCCGCCGCTGCCCGACATCAGGCCCCCCCCCCGCCTCGCCCCCCCCCGCCTCGCCTCGCCTCCCCCCGCTGCCCGCTGCCCCCCCCTCCCCCTGGTCTCGCCCCCCCTCAGCGCGCGCGTGGCCCAAGAGGTGAGGCACCAGGCCGAGCTCGTCTACCCCCGGCTGGCGGCGGGCGGGCGGGTGGTGCCGCTGGAGGCGCTCAGGCCAGCTGGCGCCGCCAAGGCTCCGAGAAGAGGGGCCCGCAGAAGACGCCCAGGGGAGGAATAAAAGGTGCAGTCGACCCGCAGAGCAAGGATGGGCAACCTTCCCAGGGGTACCCTTGCATCCTTGCCTCCTCGGCCCATCCTTCGCCACTTTCGTCGGCCGCGCCCCGCTCGAAAAGCCTCGAAATGGGCGTTCAAGGCCCTTGCATCTTCATCGCGCATCCTCATTATACGGGTTGACGGTACCCATGCCTCTGCCCTTCCCTCGTTTCCTCTCTTTTGGGGCCTCCTGGGAGGCCCTCGTCGCCAGCGCTGGATTCGCCTCGAAGTCCGGGTCAGAACGCGCGCTGGACCAGCCCGGCGGTGCATCCAGCGCCGCCCCTGGCGCGCGGAGCGCTGCATGGAGGGGTCCAGCGCCGATCCAGGAAATCTGCGCGGAGCTCCGAAACTGTATGTTCATGCGTATTGTTGTCCTTCGAAAGGTTGAGCCGTTTGTGCCCCCATCGCAGAGTCCGTCGGCCTCCTACAGCAGAGAACAGCTCGAGGAGTGGGGGTACCCCAAGTACGACCCGAAGTTCGACGACCCGGAGTGGCTGAAGGAGCAGTTCCGCAAGGAGCGAGAGGACCCCAACGAGAACGCGAACTTCTGGCTGGACGCGTCTGACCCTGAATATTGGCAGAATGTAGCCAGGCGGCCGTATGCGAAGGCGCTGCTTCGCACCGAAGCGCACTGGAACTCCCGTAAGAATCAATGGCTGCAGCAGTTCGACACCATTCAGGAGATGAACGACTACCGTCACCAGGTGGCAGAGAAGCTCGAGGCATGTCCGCTGGAGACGCAAAGGCTTCTGATGCCCATCATGAAGTATAGGATCGTGGACGTCTACCTGGCGCAGCTCTGCCGGGAGTCCCACATGAGCGGCTTGCCATTCGAAGATCTCGTCGACCGAGCAGATCACAGGGCCACGCTCCGCGAGTTCCGCGAGACGATCGACGCCGAGGGTGACGCGGGTGCCGAACACCTGTGGAAGTCATTCGATGCTCGGAACCAGCAGGTGCACCTCGACGATGAGGCCAAGAGAGAGAAGGAGGCCAGGCTCAGTGGGGCCACTGCCGTCTCAGACTCCGAGGCCGTGGCGGACGCACTGAACTTCGGGCACAAGTGCAAGAAGGATGGGCTGTTGGAGTGGAACAAGGGCAACGTCGAGGAGGCACTGGTCAGCTGGCGGCAGGGCACGGAGATACTTTGGCGGATCAAGGCGCCGCACACGCAGAAGGAGCTGAACAAGGAGATCGACGAGATCCATTGTGCCCTGCTCAAGAACCAGGCCCAGGCGGCGATCAAGCTGGGCCACTGGACGGAGGCATTGGAGGCCGCCACGAGGGCTCTGCGAATCGACGACCAGGACCACAAGGCATGGTTCCGGAAGGCGTGCGCCTTGGAGGGCCTCGGCAGGGTGAGGGAGATGCAGCCTTGCCTTGACAGCATCGACCAGATAGCCGTCGGCAGGCCAGACTGCGGCAGGATCCAGAAGGACACCGCCGCGAAGCGCGAGAAGGTCCAGAGGATCTTGGAGAAGGAGGAAGCCGATCAGAAGCGCATGCTTCTGCGGGGCTGCGAGAACTCGTTGTTCAGTGTCGAGCGGGATGCCCAGGCGGCCGCGCCCGACACGCTCAAGGACGTGAAGGACCGGCCCCCGAGGATAAGCGACAAGATAGGCTTTGTCAAGGTGGACGAGCAGACGAGGAAGAGGCTGACCAGGGACGGTGCCGAAGACCTCCTTAAGGCGCTGTCCGAAGCCTACCTTGACCGCGGCTTCCGCAAGCAGGTCAAAAAGCTCGCAATGGACGTGACTGACCAGGCAGAGTTCATCGCCTACCTCAACAAGGTGGCCCTTGAGGTTCAGAAGCCGCTTCTGGAGAACTGGGGCTTCGAGGGCTCCCCGGTGGGTGTCCAGGAGATGAAGCGGGCCGTCCTGGACCACGCGAAGGTCGACGGCGCCGTCAAGAAGCAGGCAGAGGAGACCCTCGCGGCGCTGTACGGCGAGTTCTACCACGTCTGCCGAGGCGCGTCGCTGGACCCGAAGGATCGCGCCAAGCCGCCGCAGCGGGCGCCAGGCGGCGAGGAGGGCGCGGAGCACAGCGACGGCGACGGCGAGCTGAAGCTGCAGACCTTCACTGGCGAGGGCCAGGACGGCTGGTTCGTTGCGCCAGCTCACTGGACGGACCGTGTGACGAAGGGCTGTCACGGGCAACGACTGGGGGGAGTCCAGGCCTCCTAGATGGGGTCGGAGCAGGTGGGGTCGAGGGGTCACGGCGCCTCGCCGACGCTTCGCCGATGCGGCTCGATGTGGAGCCCGTGCTTCCCCACGCCGACGTCGCCGATGCACCGCCGACGTCGGCGTTGCATCGCCGATGCATCGCCGATACGTCGCCGATGCATCGCCGATCGATGCGGTGAGGCCCTCTGACCCCAGCTGCTCGGGCCCCAGCTAGGAGGCGTCGAGTCATAGGCAACAACTTGGGGGGAGGGCCCAGCCCTGGGTGGGAAGCATCGCCCCCCACTCGCCCACTCATCGCCCGTCGGGGCCCGGGCCCCCCACGCCGCCCAGGAGCGTGAGCTTTCGCCATCGGGGGCCCATCGCTGATCCATCGGCGAGACATCGCCAGCTCCAGGGCATTGTCTCTGGGCCTCCCAGATGGGGTCGGCGTAGGTGGGGTCGGAGGATCGCGCCGCACCGCCGATGCATCTGCGATGCGGCTCGATGTGGAGCCCGATTTGCTTCGCGTCGACGTCGCCGATGCATCGCCGATGTCGACGATGCGTCGCTGGTGCATCCCCGACGCATTGGCGATGCATCGGCGACGCGGCGAGATCCTCCGAACCCCATCTGCTCGGACCCCATCGCCCCCCGTCGGACCCCCATGAGGCTGGCGGGGCTGGGACCCAGCGCAGGCGGGCGAGCCCAGGAAGTCCGCCGCGACGGAGCGCCGGGAGGCGTGGGATGCGTTGTCGAGGGCCATGAAGGGCACCGACCCGTACCCGCTGCGCCAGGCGATCGAGAGGGCGATCGAGCTCAAGCTGTCGAGCGTGACCATCAAGTCGGCGAAGAGGCGGCTCGCGGGCATCGGGAGCGGCCGCTGGCTCATCGGCCTCCCCGGAGAGGCCCAGGAGTTCCCGGAGGCCGCGCCGAAGGCGAAGGCGCGGGCGAAGGCGGGCCCCGGCTGAGCGGCCGCCCCCTCGCAGCAGCTGCCGTGGCGGGGGCCAGAAGCCCTCGGCGACGACGACCACGACCACGACCACGTCGACGACGACGACGACGACGACGACGACGACGACGACCACGACGACGACGACGACGACGACGACGACGACGACGACGACGACGACGACGACGACGACGACGACGACGACGACGACGACGACGACTTCGAGAACGCAGGAGCTGGGGCCGGGCAGGGCTGCGAGCTGGTTAGCCCTTGCGCCATCACGTGAGGAGGCCCTGCTGCAGAGGTCTCCAGAGGTTCCCCTGAGGCTTCGAGAGCTCCCCAGACCCCAGAGGCTCCACGGAGGCCCTCCGATGGGGGGCAAAGCCATCTAGAAGCTTTGACCCTCGAGTCTCTCCTGGCCCCTCGGTGTTGTAGCTCACGGTGGCCCGTAGACGACGTAGCGTCGTGGGGAGAAGGGAGCTCACCACCACCTGGGGGAGGTGCAGGATGAGTCTAGGCCTCACAGATGGGGTCGGAGAAGATGGGATCGGGGATCGCGCCGCATCGCCGATGCATCGGCGATGCGGCTCGATGTGAGCCCGATTTTCTCCACGCTGGCGTCGCTGGTGCATCGCCGACGTTGCCGGCGCCTCGGCGGTGTATCGGCGATGCGGCGCGATCCTCCGACCCCATCTGCTCGGACCCCATACGGGAGGCCTCTAATGAGCTGATCTGCGGGGTGCAGGTGCGCAGGATGTCCCGCTGGAGCGCCCGAGCAGGCATGCGCCACAAATCCTGAGCCCCATCCGCCTGGCGCGCTCCAGAGGGGGCCTTGCCCCTTGGAGGATCGAAGGAGTTGGCATCTCTTCCTCGGCGGAAGGTGGCCGAAGGTAAGCGCAATTTGGGGGGAAGTAGATTGCGGGCGACTCTGCCAGCGGAAGCTGGCGGAGGGCCGGCGGAAGCCGGCGGATGTAAAACGTGCGCCACCAGGAGTTGGCAACATTTCTGGGATCCGGGTTTCCGTAACCCGCCGCATCTCCGGCGTCGTATGTCTTAACGACGTGGACCCCCCAGAGGCCTGGACCCCTGCCCCGGGACCCGCCGTTTGTCCCAAGCCATTCTATCGCTTCTCCCAGGGCCCGTGGAGGGAGGCCAGAAGCTGCCAGAAACCAGCCGCTGTGATTCTGCCATGACGAGAAGAGGCCGCGGCCCTCCAGATGGCGGTGGCGGCGCGATTCCTTCCCCTGGCGTGAATCGGGTCGACCCATAAGGGGGTCCAGCGACGAGGGGGTGGTGCAATAGATTTGGTGCAATAGGTTTGTGGGGTTGTAATACATTCTGGGGCGTGCAATACATTCTGGGACGCACATGTCGTGCTGGGTTTTCGCGGGCAATGCATGACTTGCAATCCAATTCTGTACAGGTCTCCGGCGCAATACATCTGCAAGACGATTGCCCGAAATCTAGTGCACCACCCCCTTTCAGCTGGACCCCCTTTTTGGGTCACCCGAAGTGAAGTCGGGCGTGTCCCTCTGCAGGAGGCATATCCCAAAATAGTAAAACAAATGCTCTGGGGACGACGTTTCGATGTTTGTTGTTAATTGGCTACGTTTGAGCAGGTTTTGAGTATTCGCTATCTGTCGCCCAAGGTCCGCCTGTAGGGTTGTGGAAGTCGATTAACGGAGAGGAAGCACGCTGCAAAATAATTTCCAGATGTCTAAAAGGTGTTTCAAATTTATTTTCAAGATGTGAAACACATGTTTGAGACATGTTGAGAACATGTGTTTTACATATTTGAAAACAATGTTAAGATTCAAGGGTATGATTGTTAGAGTGTCCATGGTCGTGGCATCCGCAACTGTCGGGGGGACCTGCCCGACCTGAGCCCAGGCCCTCCGGATGGCCGTGGCGGCGCGTCTCTTCCCCCCACCGCCGCCGCCGGGGAGCGCGCGCGACGCGCGCGCGCGCCGGTGCCCGAGGGCCGTGCGCGCCCGACGCGGCGGCGATAAGAGTCAGGAGGGGGAAAAAAAACACAGGCACAAGTAATCGTCGATTCCCCAGGAAAAATAGGAAAATATGGGAAGTGGGGGGGGAGACAAAACCCAGAGAATATGGGGAAATATGGGGAATCTTTTTATCTGTGTGTATTCATTTGTGTGTCCCAGGGCCCCTTCAAAGAGAGCCCCCCCCCCCCCCCGTGGGGCCCGGGGCGCGCGGCGCCCCCTGGGCGCGCGGGCGGAGCGGACCGCGCTCTCCTTCGGGGGAGACTTGCGCACCGCGCGAGGGGCTCTCCGGGCGGGCGAGGAGCGGGAGGACGGCAGCGCGCTGGAGAGTCGGGCGTGTCCCTCTGCAGGAGGAGTGTGCAAACATATGTTTAAAACTGGTCTGGGGACAGGTTTTCCATTAGGCTTTTTGTTGTTGATTTTTCTCTTTAAGAGTATTAAGATGAAGTCCATGTGTATACATGCACAAAAAACAATTCTTAATTTTTCGCCCAAATGCCGCCTGCAGGAGGACACGCCCGACCTAAGAGTGGCTCTGGTCCGGCAAGGGCAAGGAGTGGAACGTTTCAACACGCACGCGCATGGGCGATTTTCGCTAGCTCGGGCAGCACTCTAGGCCTCCTAGATGGAGTCGGAGTATATGTGGTCGTGGGATAGCGCCGCATCGCCGATGCAGCAGGCATGCGGCTCGATGCGGAGCCCGATTTTCTCGACGACGTCACCGATGCATCGCCGACGTTGACGATGCATCGCCGGTCCATCGCCGATGCATCGGCGATGCGGTGCGATCCTCCGACCACATCTACTCCGACCCCATCTAGGATGCCTCTAGAAGTGGAAGGTGGCAACACGCACGCGCAGCGGTGATTTTCGCTGGCTCGGGCAGCGCTCTCGGTCACGCTTCTCTGCACCCTTGGTTCCTTAGCGGGTTCGGTCCCCACGCCGCTGGATGTCTGCAGGTGTGTCATCAGGCTTTTTTCCCGAGGCAGAAGTGCAGATACAAGTCGAATGAGCAAGTGCGGCATAAGCATAAACTTTTGGCGCTCCGCGCGAATTTCTTGGATCCGCGCTGTGGTCACCCTGGCGGCGCCTCCGGCGCCGCCCTGGCGCGCCCCGCGCGCCAGGAAGGGGGGTCCAGCGCAGATCCAGGAGATCCGTGCGGAGCGCCCAAAGTCTATGTACAGCGTTTTCTATTCTTCTAGACGTAGCAGATACAAGTCCACCTTCCAACCCCAACCAACCAACCATTCAGATTCACCTCACTGCTTTGATGCCGTACGGGCGGCACGGGGAGCTTGAATGGGCTCCCCCCGCCGCTCGTGCACCGCCTCGGAGAGGACGCCCACGAGCTCGCGCGCCTCGTGAGCCCAGAGCACTGGCTCAGGCTCCGCCCGCCAGGGGAGGAGGAGGAGGAGGAGGAGGACACGAGGGAGATGATGGTGGTGAGGACGTTGATGATGATGACGATGATGATGCTGGTGCTGCTGCTGTTGTTGATGATGATGATAATGATGATGATGATGATGATGATGATTATGACGTTGTTGCTGTTGAGGATGATGCTGTTGATGCTGCTGATGGTGATGATGGATGATGGTGGTGCTGCTGC